GTTGCCAAGATTAGATTTAATAGAACTGATTATGGTAGTTTCCGAATGGTAACTGTAACAGTAAAAGTGCTGATCCTTCGTGTTTGCTACTAGCATGTAGTGGTCCCCAACCTTTTAATTACCGCTAGCCCTGAAAACAGTGGCACTAATGGCAGGTGTCAGCGGAAGTGCCAGTATGAGGTGCCGAGGTCAGCCGAAGTCAGTGTGTGCCGTTCTACAAAGTATTTTAAATTAATACCTGTCATTGACACATTTTCTCACACACATTAATATATTTGGCAATCAAAGAAATGACTAAAGATAGTTTCTAACTTTTGATGTGATTATTTAATTGTTTTGGGGCATTTCTGACTAAAGAGCACATTGTTTTTATTTGATAGATTTGTTCGTGAAGCAACATAGCACTCTACTTTCACCTCACAAGTCGGTTGCTTCAAGTTCAGGAATTTAATCGCTGTCCTGTATTTATTGGGGACATGGAAATACCAACCATCATGTTGGCGTTGGGAAAACTGTTTGGGTAGTTTGGTGTCAGCAGCGATAAGGACAACAAGCCTTCTGTTAATGTGACTGAAATTTTGGCAGTGGTGTTGTGGGATTATATTTAGTCTTTTATTTCTATAAGTCAATCAGCATGTATTGAAGCTTATATTAATTATCCCAGTAATATCTGGGACAATTACCCAGATTGTTCGTCTTGATGATGTCTAGCTAGAACAGAATCAGAGAAGCTTCTCACTCAGGCTGAGTCCTAATGGACTCTCCATAAACATCAAAGTCTCTGCTTTCCCAGGTTTGTGCAGAAAATTGCTTAAAATGTTATGATGCAGTGAATGTTGCATGTGGTGAAATGGGAACAGGAGATGGTTTGTTGTTTTAAAGGGGAAGTCTGGTAGACCTGAACCCAGAGACTCTGAAGGTGATTCAGACCTTTGTTTGTTAATTTAAAGACTCAGAAGTATTCAAATGTAGTTCTGAGCTGGGTTTTGAATGTTTTTGGAGGTTGAACCTCATCCTGAATCTGGCCTGGTACCCTTAGTCAGATGAGTCCTGAGTGACTGATTTCTGCTTTATTCCAAGATAAAATGAAAGAAAAGACATGTGGAATGTCAAAGCTACAGGTGTCTTCTCTTTTGGTTCTTTCATAGTCAGTCTTTTTTTCCCTCTCTGATACAATAGATATTGGTATAAGTAATTGATTCATTTTCTGTTCATTTTCTATCTAGCAGTTGAAAACCTGAGAAATGTGGCGGGAGGTAAGCGCACATTTTCCTGAAGTCATCACATGTTTTTTGCAAAGATAGCTGCCTTTAAGTATCCCTCTGCCTATTTTTCTTGTTTTTTCTTGTTTAGCAGTTAATATCTTTGCCCATCCATCCTTTATCATTTATAAACTGTCTTCAGTTCATTATGTTAGAGAGAGAGATAATCAGTAAAAAACAAAAATATACGCTTTTTTTGTGTTTTTATTCTGCTAACAAGGAAGAAGAAAAGAGCTCTCCATACAGATGTGTCAGTCTATGATCCAGGCAGCACTGATGTACAGAACAGACCCACAAACGCGTACACCCAAATTGATAAATCACTAGTTTACTCACACCTTGTAGAAGACCATGTTTATGACGTGATTGAGCCGTGTGAAATTGTCCCTGAGAATAGGAAACTAATCAGTGACGAAGGTGGCAATGACAGCGCTGTGTCGCTCTTCGGGTCTAAACAGAGTCACGGGATTCCCAACAACTACATGGAGTGTACAATGTTGATATGAAGGATCATCCGTATTTTTTGTGTTCTCAAGCCTGACATACTTTGAGTTAAACTTCACCTTTCATAGAAAGACCATTTCATTTTTGTGTGTTCATTGCGAAATCCTTGTCTGCCTCCTCAGCTGTTTCCGGAAACGACTCATGTAAAAATATATAAATAAAATGAAATTGAAAATTAAATAATTAAAATCTGTATTTTGCAATAAATCAATTTTAAAATGGTCCTGTCATAAAATACTGATTTCCAGCTGTCACAATACGCTACTATTGTTAGTTTGTCTAACTAAAAACATGGAAAGAAAGTGTATTTGTCACAGGATGCTATAAAAAACACATTTTAACAAAAGTTGTTTATGATAATCGGTCATCTATTAAGTTCAGGAGGCTTTTTATTCATGAAATGTTCAGAGCTGTGCTATTTTTAGTAACTGTACAGTATATATTTTTTTCTTTTGTCATAAATGTATTATTTTTGGATATTGTTTTCTTTTTGTCACATTTTTATGTTGGTATGTTTAAAATAAAGAATTGAGGGTAAACCGAGATGTTACTCTAAAAGAAAGGAAGAAGAAAATATGCATTTTCTTATTTTTCCATTACAATTTATTCTTTATTGTTAAAGGCATTTTACATTTGAGTGTTAAATGTTTTTACTTTAAGCCTTATTTGTCACTGCCACGTCTTCCTTTAATGAGGATATAAACCCTTTTTTACATATCCAGAGGATTCCCATGGCAACGGTACATATTTATCAATATTCTGTCAAACATACAGCTTGTGGAAATAAAAGCCAGAAAGATGCCACAGAAAACACACAGTTGTTCTTCAGTTACAAAGCAGATTTTATTACATACAGCACACAACACACAGGCAAGCCATACTGATATGTTCAAAGATAACTAATTATTTTAACATAAACACGAGTATTTTTATAATTCACATAAAGGTTCCAGTGACTAGCTTATACTGTGTCATTTAATGTTCTGTTCTTATAATGACCTGTAGAAACAGAGGTCTAAGGAAAACTGCAGCTTAAATCTGTTTCAGTTTAACGCTAATATCATCTGCATAGAGAGATATCAGAGTCTAAAGAGCAGCAGTAAAACTCTCAGACGATGTTAAACTCACACACAGAGGCCTTTTCAGCTCTGCAGTTCTCATCGAACCACTTCCCATTGGCTGTGGTGGACAAGATGGCGCAGTTCTGGGCGTGTCCTCCGTCGGGCTGGTGGGTGATCTCAGTCTCCCAGTTCTTGAAGCGTACGCTGGAGCCCGTCTGGTCCACCCAGTGTCCGTCCGTCACCATGTCATTGACGCCCAGCCAGATGTGCTCCTCCAGCCCAACGCTCTGGCGAACATAGCTGTGAAGCTGGTCGTTCTCGTCTGCCGTCAGCGGGGTGCTCAGGCTGCCTCCCTTGGCGATGCAGTCATCGTAGGCTGCGTGGTAGGTCTTCTTCACTGGATCGGCCAGGAGACACTTTCCCAGGACCTTTGTGCCTTTCAGACAAACTGGGAGGCAAGAATGAATGATTCAGATGCTGATTCTGTCCAGTAATGAAGACACGTGGCCTCACATCCTAGAGGATTGTATTTGACATTCATTGATAAAAACCTACCTGTCTGTAAAGCTTGGTGCTCTTTCAGCAGGTTCAGCTCCCGAACGATGTCATCAATCTGTTTCTGCAGCTTCTCAATCGCATCACTTGTTACATAGTCTGGATGAAGAGGCACAAATATCAGCCTTAGCGTTACCTGATACCTGCTACAGCAGAGTATTACGTAAATTTAAAGTCTCTTTTTATCTGTTACCCCTTAAACTTTTCACACTTTGTCTAAATCTATCTTTAGTCTTTAACTATTATCTTCTTTTTCGGTGTTTTAATGTTTTTTCTTTTTATCTATTTATTTCTTTTTATTTCTCTTTCACTGTTAACGTTTTAATGATATACATGATAACAGAAACAAGTGCATTTTAAAAGAGCTATATCTATGGGTTAGAGTCCTTGTCAAACGGCGTTTTGACTAAAGTCCAAAGGGTTGGAGTCCCAGTTGACAGCGTCTCAACTAAAGTTCTACAGCTTTTTTTTCTCTCACTGTTTATTACATGCTGTTTTTATTTTAATTATGTAAAGCACTTTGAAACGCCTTGCTGATGAAATGTGCTATACAAATAAAATTTGATTGATTGATTGATTGATTGATTGATTGATTGATTGATTGATTGATTGATTGATTGATTGATTGATTGATTGATCTGCAGTTG